CCGTTTGTTCCTCACTCGGTCACACACTCAGTGTGTGAGTCGTGCCCACTGAGCAGCAGGAATGATATTCAAGATGTGGTATATGTACCACTGATGATGTACAAGATCGTTTTTAAAATGTTTTAAATTTATTGACTAGATCATTTTAAATATCTCACATCAAACTTTTAAAAACAATTATTTTCATGTATATTCAGAAAATCAGTACATAAGACCTGTGCGTCACAGATTTCACTTAGGATAAGACTGAGTTAAGAAGAGGAGTCAGTCCATTTAAACTGCATTAGAAGATACAATATTAATTCAGAAAGAGATTAAGTACAGTCCGGACCTGGTATTGCACACATTGTGAGTGGACTGTGCAGCTCTGAAGCTTGGGGGAGACCCACCATCAGGAAGCCTCGGGAGCTTGGGCTGTTATTCAGCTGAAAGCCCTACCTTCTAACACCTGATTGGCCCAGCCCCCATCCAGAATCAATCATTAGTATAAACTGCAGGGCTGCCCTGAATTACAGAGACACTCCCATTACCCTGGGAATCCCAAGAATTTAGTGGCTGAGAAGTCCAGCTCCTGGTTACCACCTACGCCGACTAGTCAGGCCTAACCACGGCCCTCAGGAAAGCTTTACCTGGCAGGCGCCCTGGGGATGCTCCTCCCTCGCTCCAGGCTCGGGGCGCGATGAGTCAGGATGCCCTGCAGGCTCCGAAGGACTTGCAGTCACCCCGGGCCCTGTGGGCGGCCTTCTTTCCCAGGTCTTTACAGTCAGTCTTCCGCTCAAGTCCTCTTCGGGAGCCTCCCTGTGGAGGGAGGAGGGGAAAACCCGGCCCGCAGTCAGCACCTTTTCGCACCAAGCCCTGGGCCCTCTCCCTTCCCCCGCCCCTGGGTGCATAAGACTACAGGAGCCTTTTGTGGGGCTCTCTCCATAGTGAGAGGACCCCCTCGCCTGTGCTGATCCAGCAGACACACACACACACACACACACACACACACCACACCCCCCTCGCTGTTTCCTCTGCCTCTTCTCTGCTGACTCCCCCGCAGCGAGCAATTCAAGGCTGAACTCTCCTGTTTCCTTGTTGCCTTAATTGCCTGCTCCAACTGGGCAGCTCCACTGAGCAGTTGTAATACCTGGGGACCAAGGCCCCTGGTTCACAACACAGTGGGATGAGCTGGGGGTAAGAACTCACACTCACTGTCCCTTGGACACCTCGTACCGATGGCCTGGCTGGGGCCCACGGTGTGGGGCAGGACCAGTCATGCCCAGCGGCCGTGCAGCCAGTCCTCACCCTGAGACTTAGTTCGCCCCTGGAGGCACTTAGAAAACCAGCCAGCAGTCCCTCCCTCCTCTCCACCGTGCTCCTCCTGGGAAGGGGACACAGCTGTCTTGGTGGGACTCACTTATGAACCAGTGACAGTGATTTTTTAAATTCCATCCTTGCACAGTGCTGTCAGGAGTCTTTCATAAAGAGCAAATAAGAGAAAACTTTGACATGCCTGGTATCCCCTGGGGCAGGGTCATCCCAAGCTGAGAGCTGCTGGACCAGATAATAAGAAAGTTTGAAGAAAGTTTGAATAACAGACCACGTGGCCCTGCACCTGTCTGCTGACTTGGCAATGTCCTTTATCACTTGAGATTCAGTAGTCTTTCTCTCTCAGGCCAAGTTCTGGTACTCGGACCACCCCCTGAACCGCAGTTTTGGGGTGCCCTTTGACTACAATGGGACCCTCGACGTCCTGATCACCCCAGGCCAGAAAGGCATTCTGATCTTATGGTTCGAGAAGAGCCTGTTAATTTCCCGAAATGCAGGTGAGTGGGGTCCAGGTTCGGGGCTGCCACTCAGTGTTCCCCTCCAGGCAGAGAAAGCATGCCATTATTTCTCTCTCCCCCGACTTGAGTGGACAGGGAACCCATTCTCACTTTGCCGTCTGTTATGCAAAGTGCCGAGGTCCCAGAAAACCTCAGCATATGGTTCTTGAGGACTGGCTGTGAAAGACGGGTTTATTAGGACCTACATGCGCACCAGTGGTGGCCACGGGTGAAGTTGAATTGCTAGTGGGGGTTGCTGGCTGGTGCTGTTGTTTCGCCAGGGGGAGAGGGATATGTTTTCCCACAAGTTGTGTGAGCTCAAAACTGCTAGCTGTTTTCTTGACTGAGGAGCTGGCCAGGCTCCCAAGGTTTCACGGTCCTTACTGATGGCCTTCATCGTCTTCCCACAGGGTGGGAGAGGGAGTTGGAGCATGTTCCCATTTACCATACACTGTCCTAACTGCATCCCCCCACCCCCATTCCCTGCCTTGTGGGACCTTCAGGGACAATAGGCAGGTTCTGAAAGTCACCAGATGCCAAGGACAGAGGGTCCAAGTCCTCAGTCCAGGAACTGCATACTTTCTTTTGGCGCTGAGGTTAAGGATCCTGGGAGATGGGCCAGGGCCACTCACTTGAACTTCCCCTGGGCAAGAGAAGAATCTGGAAGTGGCACAGCACCTGCAGGTGGCCTAGCTGAAGAATCCTGGAAGTGCCCAGGCTGTGTGAGCCCCAGCCCTCTCGCTGGCATAAGCAGAGGAGCAAAAGGCAGCCCTCCCTGGAAGAGGTGCTGTCGGGAACCTCTGGGCAGAGGTGTGGTTGCAAAAGCACCCACAGTCACAGCCAGCTACTCAGCACCGGTCAGGCCGCCTGAACACGGTGCTCCCCATAGTGCAAGAAAAGGGCTCAGGGCCAGTGCAGGGTAGAGTGAGGCTATAGCCCAGTTTCCCCTCCCAGTCAGTCCACCATGGGGAGCAGAGCAGCACACACCCGAGTGGTTCCCACATCCTTGATGTCCTTGACAGCTCACGAGCCTCTCACCAGACTCCCTATTTGGCCTTGGCCCGCATGCAGGCCTTTCCCAGCACGGCTCCCTCCCTCTCCCCTCTCCTCCAGTCTTCCCCAGATGTAAGTAAGAAAGGCTATGTCTTTCCCCTCTGGTCCCCTGTGTGGTTTTTTCGGACTAGCAAAGAACAGCATGGTGCTCCCAGGATCGGAGCTCCTACAGTACAGCTGGGCTGCCCATTTTGGGGACCCTATTTCAGAAAGAAAGCTCTGTCTTATTCCTTATACATGTTACTTGTATGGGAAAAGGCATTCCGTGGTGCTCAAGTATCCAGACAATGAAAAAGCTCCCTTCAACCTAAGCGTATTCCGAAGGATGTTTTACAACATTGCATCTCAGTGTTATCTTTTTCTTGAATCTTTATCATTTGAGTCACAATCCAAGGTGTGGGGTGGGCGGCATTTCAACAGTGGACCCCCCCTTCCAGTGTGCGCAGGTCTCATGATTCTGCCCTGTTGTCTCGTAGGTCAGCTTGTCTACCCTGTCCGGGTGCAAGTAGGATACAGCACCGTGTATTCCTCCATTTCCGAAGCCAACATCAGCATCCACAGCGTGGCTGCCAGTACGTGCCCAACCTGCGGGTAGCTTCCTAGCTGGAATGTCTTTCTAGGTCCTTGGCCCACTTTTTAATCGGGCTGCCTGTCTTTTTATTGTTGAGTTGTAAGTGTTCTTTATGTATTCTAGATGCAAGTCCATTATTAGAAATAAGCTCTACAAATATTTTTTTCTCAGTCAATGGCTTGTCTTCCCAATCCATTTTTTTAAAAAAAACTATTGAGCGCACATCATTTCCTATGTGCATTTCCCATGTCTAGGATCTTTAATGTTTTCTTATTTTCTAAAGAATAAAGTTCAAATTCTCAAGAATGACATTCAGGTCCATGTATCTTGCATCTTATCTGACTGCCCACCACTGCCCTAAGGGATCCCTTTTGTCCACGTAACCCCATGGTTCTCAACCTGGTGACACTGGGCCATGTATGGAGACGTCTGTGGTTGTCACGACTAGGGGCGGTGCACCTGGTATCTTCTGGGTAGAAGCCAGGTGTGCTGCCCAACATCAAACAATGCACAGGTCAGCCCCCACCACCAAGAACCATCCAGCCCCTCATGTCAGTGGAGCCCAGGTTGAGAAACCCTCAGGGACATTAGCTGGGTCCTTGCCCTGCAAACACACCTCACTTTTCTACAGCAGAACCTTTTTTCAAGGCTCAGTTTAAGCCTCACTTCTTCTGAAAACTTCCTTGGGGGTTTTATTTTTGTTAATCCTCGCCCAAGGATATTTTTTCCATTGATTTTTAGAGAGGGTAGAAGGGAAGGAGGGAGGGGGAGAGAGACGCACACATTCATCGGTCGTCTCCTGCATGTGCCCCAGTTGGGGCCGGGCACGGGGCCGGGGATTGAACCTGCAACCCAGGTACGTGCCCACAACCAGGAATTGAACCCAAGACCCTTCAGTGTGTAGGCCAACACTCTAACCACTGAGCCACATTGGCCAGGGCTCCTTGGTTGCTTTTTTTTAAAAAAGAATAAAAATATACATTGGATCTTGTTGCCCCCTTCATAAAACCTTTTAATGGTGTCCTGTGTTTCCTTGGAACTTTGTATATGCAATAGATCAGAAACAACCTCAGTGTCCATCAGTGGAGAACTGGTTAAGTAAGTTATAGTTCATCCGGGCACCAGAACATCAACCAGCCAACTACATCCATGTACACAAAAGGAAAGAAAAAATAAGTTACAAAGCAGCTTGGAGGGTTTCAGGATATGTTCCCATGTATGTAAAACTATCAGAAAAGAAGTTTACTAAAGTATTAACAGTGGTTACCTATGAGAGGGCTCAGTAACCCCTGGCCTGTGGGCCAAATGTGGCCCACAGTTTGTTTTTGTAAATTAAGTTTTATTGGAGCACGATCATGTCCATTCATTTATGAGTTGTCCAGAGCTGATTTTACAGAGTTGAGTACTTTTTTTTTAACCCTCACCCAAGGATGTTTACTAATTTTTTAGACAGAGAGAGAAACATCAATTGATTGCTTTCGTATGCTCACCAACCTGGGATCGAATCTACAACCTAGGTATGTGTCCTGACTGGAATCGAACCCACAACCTTTTGGTGCATGGGATGCTGCTCCAGCTGAGCTACCCAGCCAGGGAAGAGTTGAATGCTTTGAACAGACATCAAATGACTGGCAGAGCAGAAAATATTTGCCATCTGGTCCTTTACAGAAGTTTGCTGACCCTCAGTCTAGATGATGGAATTTGGGGTAATTAAAAAAAAAACCACATGTGTCCCAGTGGTTGAGTGTCGACCCATGAACCAGAGGTCACCAGTTCGATTCCTGGTCAGGGCACAGCCTGAGTTTTGGGCTCCATCCCCCGTAAGGGGCATGCAGGAGGCAGCCTATTGATGATGTTTCTCTCTCATCAGTGTTTCTATCTCTATCCCCCTCCCTTCCTCTCTCTCTAAAATCAATTTTAAAACATTAAAAATTATATTTAAAAAACATGGGGGAGAGATTAACCAAAGAATTTATACACATAGATGCACAACCCAAGGACAAGGACAATGGTATGGAGAGGAACTGGGGAGGGGGGTGGGACAGGGTGGAATGGGTCATTGGGGAGAAAAAGGTACATCTGTAATATCTTAAACAAAAATAAAAAACTAAAAAACAGTAAAAATAAAATAAAATGGTCTTTATTAAAAAAATGCTTATATTTTTAATATTTTTGTCTGTTGAAACAAGCCTCATTTCAATTTTTGTTCTGTCTTGTTGTTTTTTTCTAGATGAAAACGAACTGGCAGTTTTAACTCAGGAGAATAATTTGTATTATGGCAACCTGGGAATCCTGAAAAACCTCCTAATCAATGTAGGTAAAATCAAAGTTAGGGTTATTGCCCAATTTGTAAGGAATAACAGTCCTGTTCCTAAACTTCCAATACTGTTTCTGAAGGCTAGAAATTGTTTGAGATATTAAAATAGTAACAATATTTTAATAGCAGTAATAATAACAATAATTATAGTTAATATTAAATTAATAATAATTTTAGTAGTAATAGTAATTTTAATATTAAAATAACAGCAATGGCAGCTAAAACTTCCTGAGCACTTAGAATATGGCAGGTGCTGGTCTAACTATCTTTTGTTACCTCGCTTACCCCTGGTCATCATCTTAAGAAGTAGACCCTTATGTTTTCCCCATTGGACAGATGGACAAACTGAGGATGCAGAGGTAGTCATTTGTCCGAGGTTATAGAGATAGGGAGTGGTGACGCTGGGAATAGCTCACATTATTTTGAGCATTATGCTTATCTAATTTTATTTCATTCTCACAACAACCTCATGAAGGAGTCAGTATCGTCCTTTTTTAACCGAGGTATGTGTCCTTGTCTGGAATTGAATCCGGGACCCTTCAGTCCACAGGCCGATGCTCTAACCACTGAGCAAAACTGGCTAGGGCAATATTGTCCAACTTTTACAGGGAGAAAACTGAAGTTCAAGTCCCTTTCTCTCTTATCATTAGCAACTGAGCCAGAGAAGTCCCCCAGCTGTACCAACTGCTACTTCGGTGTTTTTCCTGTGAGATCTACAGCCACTATGTGTCCTGAAAGTTGCCGGACAATAGAATTAGGACAGGATCACTGGATGTGGGGCATCAGCACCAGAACCATCTCTCTGAAGCCTTAACCCTGGCAGTCTGATGACCAGTGTTTTCTGCGGAGAGATTCTGTAGCTTTTCCAACTCTCCAAGGAGGTCCATGACCTGTAAAGAAATTTCCTGGGTACCCTCTCTGATAGGAAACACAGTTTCCATTATTCATTTAAACACTGAGGGATAAATGAAACTCAAGAGTAGGTGTCTCAACAAAGCATGCTAATGACTTTGCTGTCTGTTTGGTCTACCTTCTTTAAACTTGAATCCTAAGACAAAATCTAAATCCTCAAAAAGGAATTAGAATGGCCCTATTTCAGATATCACTTTTTTTTTTTTCCAGTTGGTAAGACAAGACGTCTGGTCCCAAGAGGCAGTCCTGATGTTCACTGGCCTGGGGATGCTTGAAGTACTGACCCCAGTTCTTGACTTGACTTTTCTAAGTTTTGATTTCCAGAAGTACTCCGTGAATATCCAGGCAGTTCTCATGAATGCCAAACTCCAGGTTCACATCTGCAAAGTATGTGATCACAGCTGTTTAATTCCAAGTTCAAGAAACTCTTTTTTAAAAAAGGCAAATCCCAGAGACCCAGAGTTGGGCACCTGTGGCTGATAACCACACATAGAGCTCCAAGTAGGGTTGGTTGCATGATAAAATATAAGAAGCCCAGTTAAATTTGAACTTCACGTGAACTAGATCTGACAGCCAGCCACCACTGCCCCAAAGGCTGGCACCCACATCTTGTACAATTTCCTATCCATTCTTTCAAATAGAAATGTATTTCACTTTTAGTAGATGCTCTTTGGAACAAGGAAGTAAACCAAACCTGATATTGTTCAGAAGAGAAAGAAGTAAGTGATGTGGTTATCAGGACCACAAGCAGTCAAATGAACAGTCAGGACTCCACAGAAACTTACCTGGAGAGCTCCCAGAGAGGGAGATTCATTTGGTCTCAAACTATACACTGAGCCATGGGGATCAGCCTTGACCCAGGCCAAGCAGATTGATTAAAGAGGGGAGAAATCATAGAAATACATTAATATGCACATACTAGTTTGGATTCGTTATTCTGCGAATGATGGAAAATCCAAATCAAGTGGGCTTAAACCAGAAAGGCAATTGTTGACTTCAGGACCAAAAAGTCCAAAGGAGGAAGACTTCAGGTGAGGCTTGATCTAGTATCTGAAATCATGCCACCAGGAGCCAGCTTCTTTCCATCTCTCCTCTCTGCCTGTCAGGGTGTTTCATGCTTCATCCTGAAGCTCCATCTGGATGCCTCTGGGAAGCTCCAGGATCTCATATCATAGCAGCAAGCTGGCAGCCAACCCTGAAGACCTGGCATCCTCACACTGTACCTAAGGCAAGAGAGAGGATCTCATCAGAGGCCAAGAAAAATTCCAGCACGTCTCCCATGTATCATTGGCTCATAGGGGATGACACACCCCTTCCTGGACCATGACATGGCTGAGAGTGAGCCAATCGGAATCCACTCCTGGAGACAGTGGTGTAGTCAGTTCACCCACCAGGCTATGTGTACAAGAATGGGCAAAGGGCGATTTGCCAAAGGAAACTGGGGCTACCCTCAGAAAGGGGGAGCAGCTGGCAATCACATGGTTGGAAGTACAGGGAAGTTTTTCCTAACTTTATTTTTATTTTTAAAGTTTTTTTCCAGTTTTAATGAATTTTTTTTTAAATTTTATTTATTGACTTTAGAGAGGGAGAGGAAGGGAGTGAGAGAGAGAGAAAAGGAAAGATTTGTTGTTCCACTTATTTATGCATTCATTGGTTGATTCTTGTATGTTCCCTGACCCAGGACCGAACCCTCAACCTTAGCATATCAGGTTGATGCTCTAACCAACTGAACTACCTGGCCAAGGCCAATGAAATATTACTGACATATAACATTGTGTTAGTTTCCAGTCTACAACATAATGATTTGATATATGTTTATATTGTAAACTGCTCATCACAATAAGTCTAATTAACATTCATCACCACACATATACAATTTTTTTTCTTGTGATGAGAATTTTTAAGACCTACTCTTAGCAACTTTCAAATATGCAATAGCTGTTGTTCACTATAGTCATCATACTGTGTATTACATCCCCAGTATTTTATAACTGGAATTTTTTATCTTTTGACTCCCTCCACCATTTTGCTCACCCCCCGGCCCCTGCCTCTGGTAACAACCAATCTGTTCTCTGGTTCTATGAGTTTGGCTTTTTAAAATTCCACATATAAGTAAGGTCATACAGTATTTGTCTTTCTCTGACTTATTCCACTCAGCATAATACCCTCAAGGCCTATCCATGTTGTCACAAGTGGCAGGATTTCCTTCTTTTTAAGGCTGAATAACATTTCATCGTGGATATAGCTATAGATACACACCACATCATCTCCATTTATTCACTGATGGACACAGGTTGTTTCCATGTCTTCACTATTGTGAGTCATGCTATAATGAACATGGGGGTGCAGATATCCCTTCAAGATAGTGATTTCATTTCCTTCGGATAAATACCCAGAAGTGGAATTTCCAGGTCATATGGTAGTTCGATGTTTAATTTTTTGAGAACCATCCATACTGTTCTTCATAGTGGCTGCACCAATTTACTTTCCCAAGGAAATGCCATCTGTGAGCCTGTCTCATCCAGCAACCTCACCCCATCTGTCAGTGCTCTAAAGTCCACTGAGTCCGTCCAGGACTGTGCTCAGCAGAGCCCAGGCTGCCCTGGTGTCATGTATCTGTGGGGCCACTCCCCCTCCGAGGGGCTAAAGATTGTAGAGTGGCCACTTCTAAATGGCCACTGAATACATGGCATTGAGTGAAATGAGAAAAAAAAAAGTAACTGTGCCATATACCAAGTTTATTGATTTATTAAAATAACCTTTTATGAGACGATGCTGCTAATGGATGGCAGTAGTTTATTTACCACAATAAAATGTCACTCCCTAGCTTTTGTGATTTTCTTGTGGGTCCTTAACATATCTGAGAATTGCTGGTCTTATGTACAAGTGGAGGGAGGGGGAGGAGAGAGGCTTTCATGCACATGTTTGGCCCCTTGAACAGTTCTGAGGAAGATGGCTGTGGCATCAGCAAGTACTTTTCCAAAATCCCTCCAAAAAGATATAGCACCACAAAAACCCATGGATGAAAGCCGAAGCAACTTGAGCAACAAAAATAAACAATACAACGTTAGATCACAAGCCAAAAATAAATATGCACAAGTCCACATGGATATAAATAAATGGCAGAATAAATAAAGGGAGAGGAGACACATTCCCTCACAGAAGAATCCCAAATAATATAGCTGCACCCTCCCCTTTCCGGGAGGTCGGGCTTAACCTCCTTGCCTTAGTGTGGTCTGGCCTTAGTGACCTGCCAAAGAAAAACAATCTGGAAAGGGAAATTGCGGCTCGAGAGTGGAGAAAGCTGCAGACACGGTTTTAACCAGGAGATCAGGATTGACAGGGACAGTGACAAGTCATGTGGCTATGAGGAGATGTTCCAGTGTCCATTTCTTGACCCCATACCTGGAATCGGCCACTTCTCCAGGAAACTACTCACTGGTCACCTTCTGAGATGGCAGCAAACCAATCCACTGTCTTGGAAACTGGAGACATAAAAGCCAAGACTCAGGCATTTATCCCACCTTCTCTTCATGCCGTTCTGTTCTACTGGCCCAGGAAATAGAAAAGGGAAATGGTTACTGATAAAGTTATTCTGTTTCCTTCCCTTATCTTACTGTCACTGTCCTGAAACCTTATTTTAGTAAACTGATCAAGTAACGTGTTGCATGTGGGTTACTCTGGATACATCCAAGCCCTCTTACATCTAAACTCAGATGAGGTTGGTCAAGTGATGGAACATTGGAGTTCTGCCTTTTTTTAAGTGGTTTTCTTTAGGAACTGTCAGTGTAGAATTGTAACTATGTGGACTATGGAGAGTCAACAATATATACTTAAAAGTTGCACTATTGCAAAACAGGAGCGTTATCCAGGTACTTGCACACACTATTTTTTTGTACCGCTGGTCCTGTACGCAACCCCAGCATGTTAATGGATGTGGGCTTGGAGCCTTGATGACCACCAACATCAAAAAAGAGACCGCCAGCTATTATGTGCTGTCAAAGTGAGATCAGTCAGCTGGTGAGTCTTGCCAACACAACCCAGCCCAAACCTGATGAATCCAGCTGCCAGTCTGCCGGAAATGCAGAGCACAGGGGCATGTACCCAACTGTGCCAGGAAAATCCCCACTGGGAAGTCTGCAGGCCCAACACCCGGGGCTCGGGCGGGGAGCTGTGGATGGAAAGAGACTTAAAAGATATAACACTGTTTGAAAACGGGCAAGACCAAGATATATCATCTATAATTCTTAAAAGAAATACAAGGAGAAAGGCAATTACCACAAAGGTCAGGCAGGAGGTACTGCTGAGGAGAGGAGGGGACCTTGAAGGCCTCCTGAGGGTGCAGGACCTAGTGGGGAGGAGGTGCAAGGGCAGGCCCAGGCTGCTGTACCCACGAGACTAGAAAGTTCCATCCCTCGGTGGAACCACTGGCCACCTCCCACCTGCTTGCCCTTTTATTTTTTGGGAACAGAGACTTGACTTAATTTCAAATTTATTTATTTATTTATTTTTTACATTTCTAACTAGGTAGAACTTCTGCAAGGAGAATTTGAAAACAAAATGTATGTCATTGATATGAACAGCAAATTGGAGTTGACCGCCTTGATGATACCCAGGCCCGGCATGTCACCGGTTCCACTAGTAAGGACATCTCCTTATCTGTTGGAAAAGTGTTTCTGATATGTGCTATTCCCAGTGTCCTTGGCCTCACGCCCTGTGCCCATTGTTCCCAGATTCTGGAAACTCCCTGGTGTCCTCCCACGGAGAGGGCTCACTCATGATGCTCCGCAGCTAGCCTCTGCATGTCCGGCCCAGGGAGCTGTGTGCCCCGCCTCCTCTCATATGATCTTGGGCCTCACTCTCTACCCTTCTAAGCTGCCTCAAGCGCTTTGCACAGATTCCCTTTCTTCTTAGCAGAGCCTTGACTCACAGCCTTGCCTCGTGCAACGGGGGTGCCTGAGAAACAGTGGCTGTCCTGGGCCTGGCATCCAAATGTCCAAGCCTGGAAATGGGGCAACAGATTAGTGTAAGAATTTGGGGGGAAGTTCAGCCAGCCAGGACCAGGGCCAGTGAAGGGACACCAGGCTGGCTCCAGCTCTCATCCAGAAGTCTCTCATCTCCACCTCCTTCTCTGGGACTGGCCTCTGGGCCTCTCCCCACACCACTAGGGACGGGTCTGGGTCCTGCAGCTCAGCAGCTCCAGGCTGTCTGCAGAATGAGGCTTAGAGGCCACAGTCAGGGGTTGTGGATGAGGCGGGGGAAGCATTTGGGGATAGGACTGGCATCTGCATTTGCAGAGCAAGCTCAGTTTTTACTCTGAAGGTGCATGACAGTCACCTGCAGGTGTCACCCCAGTGGCACTCCTAATGCCTCTCCTGTCCCCACCCCAGACGACGGTGAGCAATCCCCACTCTTTGGGGTTTCAGGCCATCATCTACGAAGACGGCAACACCTACAATGGGAATGCCAAGTACAGGCTGGTGAGCTGCGCCCACACCCCAAACCAGGGTCAATGAGGTGAAGGGGACAGCCTTGACCCGCCTGGCCAAGGCCGGCGCCCATGGTCATTCTCTGGGCCTGGCCCTCCTTTCTCCTCTCCTCTCCTTGCATGCACCTGCATTAGGTGCTGCAGAATTTTCCCCAACTCAGGCAGGCAACTATCACCTAAGTAAGTGATGTCACTAAGGTGACACATGGGAGAAGCGCAGAGGACATGACAGGAAACCTAACCCAGCCCTAGGGAAGGCAGGAGATTTGTATTAGCTGGGTGAACTGAGGTCTTAGAATGGGAGTAGCCAGGGGGACTGGGAGGGACTTGGATATATGGGTCTGGGGGATCTGTAGGTCTGAGCCAGACCTCACGGTCACACTACAGAATTTGAACTTGAGCCCAGAAGCCCAGGATTGGACTGTGCGGCTCCTGCAAGACAAGGCATGAGTTGGCTACAACAAACTCTTTGGACCAGTCCTTGTCACTTTCCAGAGAAATAAGAAGGGGAACAAAGTTGTACCTCACACTGGGTCCAGGACAAAGGCAGCAAGGGAATGAAGGAGCTTGGGGTGGCCATTTCCATGAGCTTCCAGAAGCCTTTCATGGGCGTTGGAATTAGACCCAGGAAAGGCCTGGATGGTTTCCAGGCTCCTCCTCCCAGCACCCCCATCCTCCCTGCATCTGTCCCCAAACCCCGATCTCTGGACTGAGCCATGCTGTCCCACTGTGGCAGTTGGGTTTTCTCTCTTGTTCCACAGAACATTTCCCTGAGGCAGCAGCAACACTTGGGCAGGGCTGACCCCAACTTCACCTCCAGGTATGTCATCACTGGGACCATGGCGGGCGGCCCCAAGGTGCCTATAGGGTTCCCTTAGCAGGAGCTGAGAAAGCAAGGCCAAGTTCGAGACTACCCCCCTCCATGGAGGATGGTAAGGCAAAAATTATTAAAAATAGGGGGATAAATGGTAATGGAAGGAGACTGGACTTAGGGTGGTGAACATGCAATACAACATACAGATGATGCATTACAGAATGTATACCTGAAACCTATATAATTTTATAAACCAATGTCACCCCAATAAATTCAACATAAAAAAGAATGATGAAAATACTTGACAAATGGCAGTTCCACAAAAAATTAACATAGAATCACCACATGATCCAGCAACCCCACTTTTAGGCACATACCCAAACAAATTGAGAGCAGGGTCCCAAACAGGTATCTGTACCCCCACATTCAGAGCAGCAGCATTCACAATGGCCAAAAGGTGGAAACAACCTAAATGTCCATTGACAGATGAATAGATAAACAGAATGTGATTCTTTTACACAATGGAATATTATTTAGCCTCAAAAAGGAAGGAAATTCTGTCACCTGCTGCAATGTGGATGAACTTTCACATTATGCTGAGTGAAATAAGCCAGGCACTAAAGGACAAACACTGTGTGATTCCCTTTGTAGGCTGTCACTAGAGTATATATTTCAACAAGAATGTTTTAATTCTATATATAGAACTTTGTAACACTATATTATATAATTGAAATTTGCGTAAAGAGTATAATTAAGTGTTCTCACCAAATAATAATAATAGTAATGTGCGAGCTGATGGATGTGTTAATTTTCACAATGTGTACATGTACCAAGCAAATCATCACATTCTACATTCAACACTTTATTTTATTTTTTATTTATTTTATTTTTTTAATATATATTGATTTCAAAGAGAGGACAGGAGAGGGAGAGAGAGAGACAGAAACATCAATGATGAGAGAGTCATTGATCGAGCCCACAACTAGGCATGTGCCCTGACCGGGAATCGAACCCCGATCGCCTGGATCCCAGGTCAATGCTCAACCACTAAGCCACGCCTGGCTGGGCTACATTCAACACTTTAAATGTCTTTCATTTTGTCAATTATACCTCAAAAAAGCTGAAAAAATATAAATGAAAAGTAAAAAAAAAAAAAAAAAAAAAAAAAACTTCCTATGCTACTGGTATAGGATTATGTTCCTCTCATACTTGTGGTAAATTGATTTAAAAGCCACTTAATAATTTATGTACTTGGCCATAGAAAAACAGTTATCCTAGTAGAAATTTTCAGATCGAACCCTCAGACCTTAATCCAAAAGAACTAAAACTCAACAACCAAAAAAAAAGCAACAACAATACCAAAATCCCCTTTACTTAGAAATTAAGAAGCACCCTTACAAATAACTCCTGAATCAAAGAATGCATGAAATACAGCTAAAATATACTCAGAGAAAAGTTTATACCCCAAGCACTTCTATCATTAGGAAAGTATAGAACTAAAGATAAATTAACTAAATATTTAACGTAAGGAAACAGGGGAGCAATAAAAAGAAATTATGAGAAGGGAATTAATAATGATACAATCTGAAATGTATTAAATAGAGGGCAAAAAGATAATGTAAAGTCAAAATGAAACATAAAGCTGGTTCTTCAGAAGACTGATGTAATAAATAAAACCCTGCAATCCCAATGGAGAAAATGCAGCATTAAGATGAACAATCAGAATAGAAAATGAAGATAAAAGTCTGAATACAGAAGCTATTTTTAAAATGATGAGAAGACATCATATACAGCTAGGTGATAATAAAATCGAATGCCACGTGTTCTCTTCAATAAGTTCTTATATATAAATTAACAAAACTGATTCAAGAAGAGGTAGAAACTCAAGAGTAAGGCGGGGCCACCATATGTAAGTAGAGATTCTCAGTCAATATTCTGGTGTTCCAGGACGGACGGACGGGTGGACGGATGAATGAGTGGGTGGATGGATGAGTGGGTGGATGGACGGACGGATGGACGGATGGATGATAGACAGATAGATAGATGGATAAACCAAAGGATGGATGGGTCGGCAGTTATTTCTACTGCGGGTACCAGTGTGTAATGACCAAACTCCCTTTACCTTGCAGCATAAAGAGACCCACGATGTCCACCATCACTCTGGACATAGCCAACAAGGAAATTTCATGTGTGGACCTCAAGCCACTGGTGTGTCCTAAATTTGTGCTGTCCCATATTCTTTGTTATTAGTGTTAAGAATAATGGCAGCAGGCCTCGGTTGACTTTTCCCTAAGGAACTGGCCAGGCCTACATTCAGGATATGGAAATGCAAGATCCTTTCCCCAGGGCCGGGTAACTGCCCCTCCTCCAAATCATCTCCCAGGACTGAGACTCCTGCCTCACCATCCTCACCCCTTGCTGACTCGGGTAACAGCACTTGGTGCTCCTAAGAGAAAAAAAAAAGTTGGTTCTGAATTGGTTGGTTTGCAATGGAGGACTGTGTTCTCGGGGAAATGTTGCCCTCTTTGTGAATTAGGCAGCCCAGGGAGGGGTGGTCCTGTTAGCAAGGCCCCAGGTCCAGAGCCTCAAGATTGCAAAAATAAGAAAATACAGTTACCACAATGGGCGAGGACACTAAGAAGGTGGCCCTGAGAAGCCGGACGCCCTCCTTGGGATGGCCTGTCTTCCTCCCCGAGGTTTGTTCCTGGCCAACATGGTCCTCAAGGGAGGTTGGGTGCTGGGTGCTATCCATTGGATGCCTGTTTGAGCTACAGTCCACAGCCACCTCTGAACAAACCAGAGACAAGACTGTTTTGTTTGTGAGGAGACACCTACATCCCATCTCAGACCCCACAAGCCTGGTGGAAGATGGCCACCGAGTGGTCAGGCAGCCCCGCACTGCTGACAGATCTGGCATCCACCCCAGATTTAGGACAGAGAGAGAGAGAGACCCACCTGAAAGAGGGAGGAGAAGCTAGGAGGGTGGGGCTCACCCTGGGGAAAGAAGGTGGGGAGAGGCATGGGCATGCTCCATAGAGCCATGCAGGGTCCTCCATCCTGAGGGCTTTTATCTGAGGTCTCAGGGGAGGCTCTCAATAGAATATTCATCAGCTTTCCCTTTGTGTCTCCTCGGAGTCTTGGTCTCCAGTGATTGGTCGGGGTCAGGGGAGGCGGTCATTAGTCATTGTAGCTGGTCCCGGTGTCAGCCAAGGTGGTGGTGTGCCTGATTTTGCTGTTTCCCGGGCCCTGGATCTGAAAGACAGCTGAGGCCTAGATGTCATCTCCAGGGGTTAATGCTTAAGGGAGTGGTGTAAGCACTTGGAGTTCTGCCTGCTCCTAGGCACCTGGGCTCTCGGCCCTGTGACCCTCTGCACCTGGCCCGTAGTGTCTGCTCTGCTCAGAGGGAGGCTGCATTCCTGACTTTGTCTGAATCCTGTTAGCAATTCCCAGCTACTCCAGCAGAGCATCCCTGAGGGCAGAGGAAGGGAGGGACCGTCCTGGAGAGGGCTTGGAGGGTGGGAGCAGTCTGAAAGCGGACTTAGGACATTATGCTCAGTGAAATAGGCCAGACACAGAAGGACAAATACTGTGTGACTCCACTCATAGGAGGTCCCAAGAGGAGTCAGATCCATAGAGACAGAAATTAGATGGTGGGAGCCAGGGGCTGGGGCAGGGGATGGAAAATTTAATGGGGGCAGAGTTTTTAGTTTGGGAAGATGAGAACGTTCTGTAGATGGATGGTGATGATGGTTGCACAGCATTGAGAATGTACTTAATGTCATCGAATTGTATATACTTAAAAATGTTTAAGATGCTATTATATTGTCTATTTACCACAATTTTTAAAGAAATCGATGCAAATCTTGCATTCTGTTCTACCATAAGTCCATGTTTGTCTTAATAGAAGGCTGCTTTTCCAAATAACAGTCTCCTTGTCCTGTGGGTTTAGACTCCCTTGTAGATCTCTGAGGGTGCCACCATATCCCAGTTTGAGAAGCATGTCCCTAAGGCTGTCAGGCTAACCCCAAATTGCTCTCTTTCTCCCTTCTGTCTGATCATTGTAGTCCCTC